GGTTTTAATCCTGGTTTAGCCCAAAATGTGAAAACAGGAAAATACCGCCCTGTAATCCATTTATTTCAACAAAGTAACTGTAATCCAATTACCACTCACTGAAACAGTAACTGTAACTGAATACAGTTACTCATAATTTGTTACATGTTACATTACATGTAATCTGTTACTCCCCAACACTGCCCATGAGATCATATCAAATCTGTATTAGAGCTTCCCACCGGCTACAGATCGACTACAGACACATTATTTATTTAAAATGTTGTTATTATTTTATATTCTGCTTGTTCTGGATTCAATGTTTAAGCAAAACTATTTTTAAACATTTATTTCATTAAGAAAAGATTTAACATTATTTATCTTGAAAGAAGAGAAAACATGCAGATGTTGTTGAAAATTTTCAGTAAATATTTAATGTGGCTCCCGACTTAGTCCCAGTTATTAATTTTGGCCTCTGTGTATCTGCGTTTGACCTGCCTGATCTACAGACTACAACTGTTTCACATCTTCAGCGGCAGTGTTGGGGAGTAACAGATTACATGTACCAGAGTTATGTAATCAGAGTACAAATTATGAGTAACTGTATTCAGTTACAGTTACTGTTTCAGTGAGTGGTAATTGGATTACAGTTACTTGGTTGAAATAAATGGATTACAGGGCGGTAATTTTCAGTTTTCACATTTTGGGTTAAACCAGGACTAAAACCAGGACTAAAACCAGGACTAACCTAGGTCTAAACCAGGACTAAACTAGGTCTAAACCAGGTCTAAACCAGGTCTAAACCAGGACTAAACTAGGTCTAAACCAGGTCTAAACCAGGACTAATCTTGGACTAGAATTTGGACTCTATGACCGCCCTTGAGAGAACCTTGAGCCCGTGGAGCAGGGCGTCTGCAAGGTGTGATCGGGCGTCAGCTGCGGTTCGCCCCGTGGAGTGTGGAGTTCTGCGCTGGTCCTTGATGACTAAGGCTGCGTTCAGACTGCAGCCTGAAGTGACCCAAATCCGATTTTTTGGCCCCTATGTGACCTGTATCTGATCTTTTAATGACAGTCTGAACGACACATCTGATTTTTTCAAATGTGACCCAGGACACTTGGATATGTGCTCCTAAAACCTGATACATATCTGATCTTTTGACATGTGACTTCAGTGTGAACGGTCAAAGTGCATTCATCCACCTACACGTTATCAACAAGCCACAAACGTCACTATTCTGCAGTGAAGTAGATGAAAATTGTTCATGAACTCTGTGTCACTGAAGTGAAGCACATCACCACTCACCACTCTTGGCTACGATTCCACATCCACGTGTTCTTGTCAACGGACGTCGCTGCCGCTGTCCCACAAACAAATGTTCATACAAAATGTATGAACAATGTTCTCTGCAAACTCAGAATGATTTAGGCAGTCAAAGATTACCTTTTTCGTCCTTCCCGTGGATCAGTCCTGCCCATCGCTTTCATCTTTCACTATTTTTCAACTCCGTTGGGAAACAGTTTGAACAGAGGTTTGCAGTCACACACAGCTGATTCCCTTTTACAGTTACGGAATTTCGCAAACCAATTTCTCGAGCTGTTTTCCGCTGTTAGGATCCAACAACCACACAATTGCCATGTCTGAATCCCAAAACTAAAATATGACAATATCAGAACCAGAAACAAAAGTGATATGGTTCAAAAGACTTGAAAAGATCGACTTTGACAATAGATACATCCCACTGGGAAAACAAACATGGTGGTTTGATGTTCACTTTTTTGGAAAATCCTTCCCAGTATGAATTGTGCAATGACCGGAAGTCTGAGATTCTTGATGCGTGTATTAAAACAGACTAGCCTATATTTTGTTTTTGAGTTGTTAAAAAGTCGTCAAAATGGTGCATACATAACAGGAAGCTAAACCAATTACAGTGTTGGCAGCAGTAGATTACTTGTGCTTGTAATTGAGTCAGTTTTTTAGCCATGTAACTGTACTTTTACTATGGATAAATATAATTCTGACTCTTTCCCCCACTTCTTTGTCATGTAGGCCTTAAAGTAGTCCTGTCACGATTCATTAGGTGCAGTGGTACAGTTGGTGTGCGCCCTCTTGTGGCGGAAGGTTAGAATATGGCGATTTGAAACAGATAATAAGTTTAACTGTCCTGGTCCGGTTTAGGAGTTTGGATTTCAACAAAAAACTAAAGTGTGGCAAACTGAAAAACTGTTGGCTAATGTTGACGGTAATATTATTTGAGAGGGATTTGTTAAACAGCACAAAATCAGCGAACATGAGCTTTAAATAAATCAGTTCTTTCTGGTCAGACTGTGTTAAAGGGCCCATCTCATGCAAAATCAACTTTTCAGAGCTTTCTACCTTCTAAGAGTGATGTGTGGGCCTTGTGTATGTCGCCAAAGGGTTTTTAAGATTGATTCGGCGTTTGTTTTTTTTTAAATTGCAGCGTATTTCTGCCACCCTCCCACGTGACAATGAACTAAAGCTGCTACAACGATGATGCGGCAGATACACCTATGACGCGTTTGACGTAGCTGAGAGCGCTTCACACCCACCCCCCTCCCCCGCTTCACCGCCTCCACCCCACATCGGCTGACAATTCCCACATGAACACCTAAACAAAAGCGACAGCATAAGCTCACTGCAGTGTCCATTAGGGACGGGCATGATTAGTCGATTAATCGATAATTGATCATTAAGAATTTCATCAACTAATCTGGTCACACTAACCCGTATTCCACTGAGTCGCGTCTTTTAATCCGACAGAAATTGACCGCATCAGCGACACAAGAGCTGTGGTTTTATCTTCACTTAGTTTATGCAAATTAGCGATGAGGTTTTAAGTTTTGTTTCTGTGAGAGTTGAACAAAACTGAATTAAACACATTATAATCTCAAACGGATCAATATGGCTCTAGAGTGGTTGTGGTTTATATGTCGTAAAGTTGAATTTATTTATGCAGATTAGTAGTGCAGATAGTAATAATAATGATGATCATTTTAATATAAAAACGTTAATGATTAATCGATAATCGATCGTTAATTCTTCCGACAATTGATTAAGAAAATTTCATCGAATGCCCATCCCTAGTGTCCATGATATAATAAGTTTATCTACAAGTGTTTATTAATACTTTACCAATCAGTAATGTTCAGTTGATGTGGACGAGGTGCTTGAGCTTCGTGCTCCTCAAAGTCCTCGTCCGATTCCAGGTCCAACACATGCGGCTGAACACGCTGTATCTCCATGATGAATAAAAGTTTATTCCTACCACTATCAGGGTGCACACCTGTCTCCCCCTCCCTCCCTGAGATGGCGGAGGAAGGGCGGCTCACTCGTCGCCTACGTCACGTTTGGAGGGTGGAGCCTGTGCTTTCTCAGGACGGGAGGGGGGATGAGCAATAGTCGGTCTTTCATAGTTCCTGGTCTGTGACTGTCTCCAAGACATCAGTAAGATTTCAAAACTATTGTGTAATGGATGTTCCAAAAACCCAAATTGTGCTTGTTTATGTGCAGAAGATACAATGTGAAAAGAGTTATTTTGCATGAGATGGGCCCTTTAAAACAAAGCTCAGATTAAAGTCTAATGTGAGTAACAGCTTCAGACACAGCAGTCCCTCCAGTTAGCTTCACCCTCCAGAAAATGTTGATGACCTCAGCTGCAAAATATCAACAGCCTCCTGAATTCTCCTCTCCTCTTCGCAGCCATGGTGGACGCAGCGACCGCCACACAGTTCCTGGATTCGAACCCTCAGTTTGCGAAGCAGTACTACGACGCAAACTTCCGGCCCAAAGTGATCGCCGAGCTCCTGGACAGCGGCCGGAAGAGCGCCGTGGACACCAGGAAGTTCCACACCCTGTCCCGCGTGGAGGAGAGCGAGATCATGCTGGACCTGGTGAGGGACATCCAGGACAACCTCCAGATGGAGAAGGCCGTGTTCAACCTGATGAAGCACCTGAGCTTTATGCTGAGAGCCGACCGCATGAGTCTGTTCATGTACAGACAGAGGAATGGCGTCGCAGAGCTCGCCACCAGGTAAACCACATGGACACTGGGACTAAACACACAAACCACAATCACGACCGCAGTGCAAAGAGGCCCTATTCACACTTACCGGAAGACGTTTGGAAACATGCGGATGATGACTTCCAGTGTATTATACATTATACATTAACTATAATATATCCAATAAATTACAATGAATAACTAGTGACTAAATATAATTATGTACAACTTCCAATATATTTCTTAAACATTTTCTTAAAACATGACGCTTGTGAACAGTTAAGGTTTGAGGGAGCGTGTTCCCAAGCACTATCGCTCTGTACTAAACTAAACTAAAATCAGATAAAACTGATTCAAATGTTGCTGTTATTTATCTGAAGTAACCAAAGAACAACTCTGTAAACACAAGGTTCAAATGAGACTTTCTGGGCCAACTACGACCAGTACATGGTCTTGTTACATGTCCAGCCAGCATATCGGCTGAACTGATATTTGGAATCTGCCGATATCTAAGCCAGCAGATGTTTCAGTAACCGGTGCAGCCCTGCCCCTGCAGTCTGGAGTTTGTCATCAGAAACAGCTGTAGGTGTAAAGCAGCGCGATTCTACAATATGACAATATGCATCATGTAACGTTACAACTCAGTTCAGTCCGATTACTTCAGAAGTATTGAAAAAAGTGGACTTAGTGTGTAGTTCCACAACAACTGTGTACATATTGAGGTGTGATGAGAATCCCACATCTGACATCTGACCTCTGACAGCCTGAAAATGTGTTCAGTTTGGGGCTTTATGTTTAATGGTCAAAGATCAGCTTGGTCCATGGTCAGTAACCCAAACTGGACACAACAGTTGATCCACATTTTCTGTCTATGAAACTGTGATTGTGGCAGGCACATCACTGCCCTTCTGCCCCAAGACAGCTGCAGCTGCAGAAACAATACCTCATCTGTGTGATTGAACTATGCACATCATTTTGAGGTCACTTAGAAATTATATGAAAATGAATGAGAAAAACCAAGGCAGAGACGATATGGAAGGAAGTGACAGTTCAACAGAACAAAAGCAGGAAGGAAAAAGTGGAAGCTCATATCTGAAAATACAACATGCACATAAAGGCTCATAGATCAGTTGTGATTTAAACTTTAAACTAGGTCTACAACAGGACTATTCCAGGTCTAAACTAGGATTAAACCAGGTCTAAAATAGTACCACAGTTTTCACAGATTATTTTTGATGCAAATAAACCTATGAATTGCAATATTACCAACATTACTAATTCAAAACACAATTTTATCAAACTTACACAATGGTAAAATTGAGTTCTACTTTCCAAAAGACAAGAAGTGAGCTATGATTACATTAAAGATACATTTCATATTTTTATATGTTCTCACTAAAGGCTTGTAGCAGCCAATAATACAATAATGGCCAATAATGTAATCATTTCTTAATATCATTTAAAGGAACAGTATGTAAGAAATATCTGTAAATGAATCACAAAATCACCCTGATATATCTCCAGACATGAAGGAATCATGATCATTTCAAATACTTTTATCAGCGACTACAGTAATCCAGCCTGAATATTCCCTTTCCCGTATAAACTGCAGCCCTCAGTCTTATGTTGATGTCGTCATTATGTGTATATTCTGTGTTTTGGCCTGTTGCTCCACCCTCCACCTCTGATTTTGGACACCTAGCTGCGAGCTCTCGTCTGGGGGAGGGGATACTACTATACTATACTGTACTATACTATACTATGCTCTGTAGTATTTCATATGTGATTGCAGTACCAGTTTTGGCCACAAACTTACTTACTTTAAGATTTATTAATTGAATTTAAAGTGTCATACTTGGAGATAAATTGTTCCTTGTGTCTCTTTCAAATAGCTGCTAAATTACCTCTAAAAATATGGACATTTTACATAATCTTCCATTAAATATAGGATACAAGAAAAGTATTTTTTTGTTTTTAAAGTAAACACCATCAATAATTATCTTTTCACATTTTGCCATAGATAAGGAAGCCTGCTGAAAACTGATACTGTCATACTGTGTACCCCCAGGTGCAAACTATGATAGTATATGAAGAGATAAATCCTTCTGACTGCTAGATGAGAGTGACAGGTAGGTAGAGAAAAAAACAAAACAAAGAAACAAACAAAAAAAAACAAGAGAGTGTGACCAGGTCTTTCAACTACTATTTGAAAGAGACAATAGTAACAATACATTCTGAAGTAGTGTGACACTTGTAATTTAATAAATAAATATTTGATTAAGTGATATCAAAGAAATTATTATATTAGTGGCTACATTGGAGAAACTAAAGAGCTACTTCACAAGAGGATGAACCAACACAGACGAGTGAGCAGCAGTGGACCCCAGTCTGCTGTACATCTCCACTTAAAAGCCACAGGCCACTCGTTTGAGGACAGCGAGGTACAGATTTAAGCCAGACAGAAAAATTGGTTTGAGAGGAAAGTGAAAGAAGACAAGACAAAGCGAATCCTTCTCTAAACAGAAATGGAGGCCTCAGACACCATCTCTCTCCTATTTAGGTGTGGAAGCTCCATTATGGCCATGAATTGTTCTGCTAATTAGACCCCACACCCTGCACAGATCAATAGGCCGAAATAACTATAGTTAGTTAGCTCCTCCCTGCAGATATAAGGAAGTGTCCACCAGCATTCTGACTAGAACTGAAGAAGTAGCTTGAATGAGCAGAGAAATGTCTTCAACCAAACTAACTTTTGTCCAGTCGACAAACTGAATTTTCTCCTCATGGATTCTACCTGGACGACTGAGGGATTCTTCACACATTAGTGGCTGCAATTATTTCATTTTAAAGTTTTTTATTATTATTATTATTAAACCAGTCAATAATGTGATAACTAACAACTTACTACATTATTGCATCAGCTTATTTCATGATTGCTTCAGTCATTTTCTTACATTACTGGCAAGTCATTACATTATTGGCTGCTACAGGCCATAACAGTGATCAATGTGTGAGTGAGGGGATTTCAAGTCTGAATACAGATCACACATCACAACAGCTGCCTGAGAAAGCTCCACACCAGATGAATAAACAATACAACAGTCTAACAGCCCCGTGGTCGGCCTATTGGAGTTGTCAAAAGTATCGAAAATCAGATACTAATCGATACTAAAACTAGATTCTCATCGATACAAAAAAGCTTTAGAATGATCCTGAGCTGTATCAGAACAAGTATAAGAGCACATAGACTAGTACGCTCGTGGACCACTGTGGAACCTACTGGAACACTAAGAGATTACACAGATATAAGAGCACGTGGGAACTAGGGCCGGGTATCATTAAGAAGTACAATCACTTATCATGTGAATATATCTCGTAGGTATAAAGAAATAATCAATACAAGAGTAGGAACATTTGAAAAAAAGGTATAGTCTCTATTATCTGGATTTAATTCCCGCCTAACATCTATTAGGCCAGTTTCGCTACATAATCCTTTTAACATTTTTGAAGATCTAGGGTTTCAACCTTTTACCTGATTTAGGTTTATCATTTGGGGTCAGTGTTAAATTCAGATCTCCCCCTAATATGCTTAATCCTTTACAGTTTTCATTAAACAGAAGTACCATGTCTGAAATGAATCTAGGCTCATTCGAGTTGGGCACATAAACATTTAAAAAAGTGACTGGAATTCTCCTAATATTCCCTGCTATTAATATGAATCTGCCATTTGGATCTGTAATCAACTTTTCTAAGACAAATGGAGGCGGCTGCAGAGTGCGATGGGCACGTTTCACTTCTAGTGGCGACTCCGGGGTTAGATTAAGCCATCTTGGTAGCATTTGTTGCACATATGTAGTTATTTGTTGGCCTTCAGATTGTTCAGGGAGACCCATCAATACTAAGTTTTTTCTCCGCCCTTTGTTCTCTAAGTCATCTGACTTAGCTTCCAGCGTTTTAATTATATTCTGAGCTTGATGTAGTTCACGTTTTGTCGCATTTAGCGTGTCCTCCAAGTAGGAGATCCTTTGTTCTGTAGAATCCAAACGTGTTGGATGTTCTTTGAGCTCAGTATTAGTTTTTGCCAATCCGTTTTTAACTCTTTCCCCCATGAAGACGACATTTGACAACCCCCCCTGTACCCTTAATGACGTCTTTTGACTCCTCCGCTGTTTCACTAAAGTCGTGATTTGACGACCATTAGAAACAGCTCGGTTTTTCACATTTAAACAGACACTGTGATAGGTGGAGGCCACTACAACCCACACTAGGCTGACCAATAGGATTCAAGGATATGTTTTTGCCGATTTTTTCCGAAGTTAATCGAAGTAGTGATGATGGTAGCTTCCGGAAAAAACACAACACGAACCACGAGCAATGGAAAGATCGCGGCGCTGCGGCACCCAGTTTTAGAAATAATGAGCAGTGGACGTATTTTATGGATAAGTTTAGAGAAAGTGACTTTTATAGATTTCAAAGTGATGATGAAGTTGATTATAAAGTGGAAAACAGCGATAGCGACGGATTTTCGGGGAGTGAAACTTATGAAGGTGAGAATGCCACTGATGTGTCTGTGTGGAGTCCTGTGATATCCAAACAAACTATCGGGCTTTATACTCAATTATGAACCAAAATTGCCCTGAAATCCCAGGCTATTCCCATTGCCCAGGCTAGTCCTTTAAAATATTTCAGTCTTTTTTTCCAAGATGCGATGTATAACAAGAATCGCTACAGAAAAAACACTTATGTGGAGATCTGCGCACGAGAAAGTAATCAAGATGACAAATACTGGACACCCACTGACGGGGAAAAGTTTTATTATTGTATTATTATATTATAATAAGCTAAATGAGTTGAATAAGTTAAATGGAAAAAATGAATTAGGTGGACACAGGTGAACAACAGGTACAAACAGGTGCACACTTGGCTTTACTGTATCTGGTGATATGAAATCTCTTTAAATACTTTGACAAAGTATATTTTTTTATGAATATAGTACTCAGAACATGCAGATATCAGATGCTGAATGTAGTTTTTTGTTTTCGATTTTGCACCTGACCAGGTAAACTCTCATTTTCAGTGAGCTGTTATAAACCTGTAAATGAGTTGAATCACATTTAAACATCCATAAATGAAGAGTTCAGAGCCTAAGGTTCCCAGAGATACAAATATGTCTGTGTTACAAAACCCCGATCCCTCACTCAGCCTTGGTTACGAATTTAAAAAGTCAACGCCAAAACGAGAGGCACCAGCTGTTCACCAAGAAACACCTTCCACTGCAAAGAGACCAAGACTTAATGTTGCTGTAAAACCACAAGAACAAGAAAGTGCAGCTCAGTGTGTTTGTCTTCTGCACCTCTCACTTAACAAACAGGATCCTGCTTTGATGGTGCTCTACATACAAAATGTTCGCTGCAAACTTGGGATGATTTAGGCAGTCAAAGGTTTCCTTTTTCGTCTTTCCCGTGGATCAATATTACCCATCGCTTTCGTCTTTCACTATTTTTCAATTCTGTTGGGAAGGGAAACAGTTTGAATGGAGGTTTGCAGTCACACACGTCTGATTCCCTTTTGCATTAAAGCAGTTCGCAAACCAATTTCTCGAGCTGTTTTCCGCTGTTAGGATCCAACAACCACACAATTAAAGATGTCCGAATCCCAAAACTAAAATATGACAATATCAGAACCAGAAACAAAAGCAATATGGTTCAAAAGACTTGAAAAGATCAGCTTTGTCAATAGATGCATTCCACTGTAAAAACAAACATGGCGGTTTGATGCTCACTTTTTTAGAAAATCCTTCCCAGTATGAATTGTGCAATGACCGGAAGTCTGAGATTCTTGATGCGTGTATTGGTTTTTGTCATCATCCCACGTGACAGACAAGTGCGTGTTTGATTGGTTGGTGGTGTGTGTGGAGCGCTGGAACTTGGCGTGAAAAAGTCCAACTGCAGTACCTTTTGTGACCTGTAGAGTCAATCTTAAGCACACTTAAGCACACATAGTCATGTTTTTGTGAAGTGTGGAGAACTTGAAATGTCTGCAATAGACATATCAGCAACGTCTCCTTTATCCATTCCAATGATTTCCCTTATGGGACCCAGGATTTTGAACCCCACAAAAAATTTGTTCCACACACCGTGAGTGTGTGCTCAGGTCTTGTTCCCCACATAGTAATAAAAACAAACACACACACACGCACACACCAGTGCTTCTCAATTATTTTCTGTCATGCCCCCCCTAGGACGAATAAAACATCTCGCGCCCCCCCGCGTGACTATAGATAGTATCATTTGTCTATAAAATTGTTATAAGTACACCTGTGCGTAACACTGCCACCTTATATGATGCCAACAACGCTCGCTGGTTTACTGAAGTAGCAGTCACAAGCGGGATGATTGTCGGCAATATTCGGCACGTTTTCGCTGAAAAATCTCAAGCGGCTTATCAGAGTGATCGGGGTGTAATGTATTTAAGTGACGCCTTAATTTATTGGGCTTCATGCTGTCCGCTGCCAACATTTTTAGACACAGTAAGCACACCGGTCTTTCCTCGTCTCCCACCGTAGTCACAGTGAAGCCAAGCGCTACATACGCTTCGTCATATTTCCTCGTCTTAGCTTTCGGGAGATTTTCGTTTGTCTCTTTATCTCCGTCTCTCTCCACCTGTCTTCTCATCCCTGTTAAATATTTTTTCATGGTGTCACTTGAGGGTCTGCTACACTTCGTGTCTACACTTCATACTCAAACTCTGTGCTGTGTGCAAAGCACGCATGCTCAGTGCAAACAAAACTCCTACACCACCAAGCGAATGCTCCCTGCGCACACTCTGCCAATGAGAGCGCCACTGCCCCCTAATGTAGTGGAAGTGCAATTGCACTTTATTCTAAAGGCCAGTTCAGACCAAAGCGTCAAAGCGTCCACTTTTTTATGTAAAGTCTATGTGGACGCGCGACTAGAGCGTCCTGCGTTTTTTGCGGCGCGTTTTCGGCGTCAGCGCGGCGCGAATCTGGCGTCAGCGCGGCGCGTCTTCAGCGTTTTGGCGTCAGCGGCCAAGACGCGCGTCCAAAGCGTCAGCGTCAAGAAGTTGAAAACTTTTTCGCGTCAGACGCGCCGCGTCAACCAATCAGGGACGAGTATCCAGAGACGCAGCGACGTTATTATCAGGAAGAAAGACCCGAGAACCAGAACGAGAACCACAAACACGAGCGGAGAATAAATATATACACCACAATCACCGAGCTGATCGCGAGGAATACACCAGGACCGGACCAGGACCAAACCAGGACTAGACCGGGACTAAACAAGGACTAGACCGAGACTAAACAAGGACTAGACCGGGACTAGACCGTGATTAGACCGGGACTAGACCGGGACTAGACCGTGATTAGACCAGGACCAGACCGTGATTAGACCAGGACTAGACCGGGACTGATCCAGTGTCATTAGCGGAGTAGAAATATATATACGCCCCAGTCGTCGACCCGATCTCCTCCGTTGATGTTTTATGTCATAAAAACACTCTCAGTCTGGTCTGATATTGTTTCGGGAAAAAGAGCGGGACCGGGGTCTTGTTTCCAGGGCAACGGATGCGCGTCGAGTATTTTTGTCCCGTTCGTCCACGGCGTCAAAGACGCGCGTCGGGGGGCGTCTAAACTCAAATGCAAAGGCTCCAAATAGAGGCGTCAAGGCGTTTTTTGACGCTTTGGTGTGAACGGCCCTTAAGACAGTAAAAAACATCTAAATAAAAAAATAAAAAAGCATGTTCCCCGAGGTCAAACGCGCCCCCCTTGACGGAGCCTCGCGCCCCCCAGGGGGCGCGCCCCACTATTTGAGAAGCACTGGCACACACACACGTACAACACGCACACACACAAACGCACACACACGCACACACGTACAACACGCACACACACGCACACACACACACACACGCACACACACACGCACACACACACGCACACACAAACACACACACGCTCACACACACACGCACAACACACACACACGCACAACACACACGCACACATACACACACGTACAACACACGCACGCACACACACACACACACACACGTACAGCACGCACACACACACACACACGTACAACACGCACACACACACACACACACACACGTACAACACACGCACGCACACACACACACACACACGTACAACACGCACATACACACACGTACAACGCACACACACACACACAACACACAACACACACACACAACACACGCAACACAACACACACACATAAGCGCACACACACGCAAACAACACACACACACAACACACGCAACACAACACACACACATAAGCGCACACACACGCAAACAACACACACACAACACACACACACGCACACACACAGCACACACACACACACACAACACACACAGCACACACACGCTCGCACAACACACACGCACAACACACACACACACACACACACACACACACACACACACACACACACACACACAACACACACACACACACACACACGCACACAACACACACGCAACACACACACACACACAACACACAAGCACACACACACACACACACACACACACACACACACACACACATATATATAAACCAGCCAGTAATGCTTGTTTCCATAGATATGTCAGTGTTCTGCTTGGAATGTTCCACAGTGACATTTAAACATCTCCTCCACATTTTACATTTATTCAATTACAGGTGGTTTTATAACTGTAACTCAGTATGGTTTGGACTCCATGAAGATAGAAAGGTTTAATGCCATACTGTGAAACATTCCAGACACAGCAATAACATCTCCGTGGAGAAGAGCATTTGATGGACCCTCCACCAGAAAAGTGACACAGTGCACCTTTACTTACTATTGCTAAAACCTGTGAGACGTTTTGTTTTCCATTGCAGGCTGTTTAACGTCCACAAGGATGCCGTGTATGACGACTGCCTGGTGCCCCCGGACAGTGAGATCGTGTACCCTCTGGACATGGGCATCGTGGGGCATGTGGCCACCACCAAGAAGATGGTCAACGTCAAGGATGTGACTCAGGTACACGCGCTAAAGCAATGTACTGCAGAAGAAAATACAGATGAAATACTGAAGCTGACTGTGGACTCTGCTCTGTCTGAAGCTCTGTTACTCAATTTAAACTTTAATCTGAGCTTTATTTTAATAGGTGAGTTTCAGCTGACGTATTGTTATTAAAAGCCCGTGTTGCATGCTGGGAAATATTTTGGTCGGAGGTAAGAAACATGATAGCGGTCAAACACAGTGCGTAACCTCGCGTATTTATCCCCAATAATGGTAAATTCCTGCTGCATTATCGGATGCACAAATAGAAGCACGGAAGAAGGAAAATGTCTTTTTTCGTATTCTGAGTGAAAAGAACCGCTAACGGTGAATTAAACGGCTTTCAAACATTCACAGAGCAAACGTAGAAGATCCTAACAAACCGTGGACTCCAACAAGTTCAACAACACATCGAGACTCTTGGAGGTTTTCATCTTTTCTGCTGTGAATGGCCCAGGAGTTTCCACCAAGTCATTGTGGATATCGCCCAAGTGAATATTTGTCCAGGTAGTTGGCGATTCCGACCAGAAATTTGGTTTGGTCCAGGCTCTGTCGGGGTTGAAAAGGGTGATTTTTTGTCCGTCGATGCTTATGACCAATTTCTGGTCAAATGGTCTTGGGTCCTCTGCCGTTAGACTGGATAAATAACTGGGATCAACACCCTTTACGTGCTTTCTCACTCCGTCCGTCATGTTATAATAATAATAATAATTCCCAGCATGCAACGTGCGCTTTTGTCAACAATGAAACTCGCCTGTACAATCTGACCAGAAAGAGCTGATTTAATTGGAAGTACAACAGGTGAGCTGATTTGTGCTGTTAAACAAGTCTCACATAAAATTACAATCACAAAATAAATCAGCCCAAAAATACAGGTCATAGTTATTCTCTCGTTTTAAACAATTATCTGCATTGTCCATGAAAAAAAACATGTTGGTCAACCTAAAATTTTTATATCTAAGGCTATGGTCAGACTGCAGGGCTTAATGCTCAGTTTGGATTTTTTTTTTTTTTTTTTGTGAAATTAGATTTTTTTGCGAAGTCGTTCACAGTTCCAATTAAATGTGACTTGTATATGATGTCCAGTGTGAACTTTAGATGCTCCAAAAGTGTCCCTCATGCACATTGGAGGACACAATGACGTTACACGCAGAAGAAGTTGCCTAAACGCTGAGCTTGTCTCCCCCACGGTCACTTTGTTGGTTTGAGTCTTTAGTCTCTTTGTATTCTGGCTCGTAGGATCTTTATTTTTCGTTGGCATTGGAGCCAGGACGCCTGTAGCCATTTTTGTAGACGCTTGTAGACATTTCTTTGGCAATCATTTCAAAAACTGTGGTTCCAATTGGACCCCTCCATTTTGTCCTGAATACAGAGCTCACCCAAATATGAATAAACTCACGAACGTCACTTTCCTTCCATTGATGAGACTCCGAGCCTGACGTGTAGGTAGATGAATGTGACCTGGCCGTTCAGATTTCAGAGAAGTCACATGTCAGAAGATCGGATATGTATCGGGTTTAGGAGCACGTATCGAAGTGTCCAGGATATGATTTGAAAAAGTCTGATCTGTGTTGTTAAGACTGTCATTAAAAGATCAGATACAGGAACATTCAGGCTAGAGTCTGGACGTAGCCTAATTTTATGACTCTACATCATTTTTCAAATAAGTGGTTTATAATTATGACAGCCTGTTTATATGGAATCCGTCTTGATCATGGTTTCAGCCATCATGTCATCAGACATTATGACATTTGTGCAAGAACTGTCGATATTAAGGATTTGTGTGTGACATGGCAGTAACGTGACAGTTACTACAATATAATCATGGCGAGTGCAAACATCATAAAACTGTCTGAAACTGCCAGCTCATTAGATCAGCCGTCATTAAAAAGATATAATGCTAAAGTCATCCTCCTAGTTTGTGGAACAGATCCCTAATTCTGACGTTCACTCTGTGCCCAAACTCTAATATCCAGATATTTATAACTACTTAATTCATTCATCGTCCTACACCAACCAAGAACCGAAAAGTTACAAGGGGTTAGAGGCTTGAGCGTGAGATGTTTGCCCCCGAAAGTGAAAACTGCACAGTGCGTCCTTCTTATTTTATTAAATACTAGACATTGGTTCAGATAGACTGTTTGACCTCCAATATGACAGCATAAACAACAGGTCACGTGCTTTTGTGACACAGACGCAAAACCTTAATATCTATCTCTAATACTAATACTAATACAAATACTAATAATTCAAAAACAGTTGCTAAATAGACCAAGTATATTCTTGGTACAACAATAACTATGGACTGCTGCATTATATAGTGTAGCTATTAACTCATATTTGTTTTTATTTCTTCATATTTTAAACGTGCACTGAGTAACACCTGCTTGTCTCCATGGAAATGTTACTGCTTTGTCCAGAATGTTCCACAGTATAGATTAAACCCATCTATCACGAGGGAGACGAGCAGGTTACAGCACTATGCTACATTACAGTTCAGATCTGTGGAGAGTCGCCCCTGTTCACAGAAGGAATCATTGTAGTTTTGAGCAACAGAAACACCTGTAATGAATAAATGCTAGATGGAAATGTTTAATGTTATACCGAGGAACATTACGGGGAAAGCAGTAACATCTCCATGGAAACAAGCAGGTAGTGAAAAGTTGCACAGTGCACCTTTAAGTAAGTCTCAATCAGTGTTGGGAGTAACATGTTATAAAAGTAACAAATGACTGTAATGCGTTGCTTTTTGCTGTAATGCAGTAATGTTGCATTACAGGGGAAAAAGTGGTAATATTTTACTGAGTACAAATGTCAGTAATGTGTGTTACGGTGCTTTTTTAACCTGGATTGAAGTGGTGGGTTTTTCTTCATACAAATTCGTTCACCTTGATATCAGCAGCGGTGAAACGCCGTAGGTGCGGTCACCTGATGGTCCACGCAGGCGAAAGGACCGACGAAGAACTCCACGCTCTAGTACCGCTGACGCCCAATCGCGCTCGGGGTTCTCTCAGGGACGGTCCTAGATTCAGTTCTAGTCCAAGATTAGTCCTGGTTTGGTCCTGGTTTAGTCTTGGTTCAGTCCTGGTTTAGACCTGGTTCAGTTCTGGTTTCGACCTGGTTTACTCCTGGTTCAGTCTTGGTTCGGCTCTGGTTTAGTCCTGGTTCAGTCCCGATTCAGCTCTGGTTTAGTCCTGGTTCAGCTCTGGTTCAGTCCTGGTTCAGCTCTGGTTTAGTCCTGGTTCAGTTCTGGTTCAGTCCTGGTTCAGCTCTGGTTTAGTCCTGGTTCAGTCCATATACGGCGCAGAAGTTCAGCATCTTCACAGTTATTTTGGTGAGAGCAAAATAAAAGTGCTGTGATAGTCGTGTAATGTTTTACATCTTAAACACAGTAATATTGTAATGTAACAAATGACTTTAAAATGACAGTAACAAGTCATAAATAACACATTAAAGTTTTAAAGTAACTTGCCCAAAAGTGGTCTCAATACATTTTTCCACCCCCGGACTGCAAAAAGTAATGTAAAAGTAATGTAAAGTAATGTAAAAGTAATGTAAAAGTAATATTGGTCCATTGTTGCTTCGTGCATGTTTATCCACCAGATGGAGCCATAACACCAGTGTGGTCCCGTGTCTGTGTGCGTGGGTTTAATTCTGTCCAAAAGCAGCTCTCTGTCTCATTACAGCCACAGTCCTGACATTTGGAAGCGTCTGGCTGTGTTTCTCTGTCATGGTTCTCTGAGTGTTTTCTGACATTTTCTCTTAATGAGGCCCAGCGCACAAAACTGAAGGGTACAAGCTGCGCCCATCACTGCTCTGCTTTTAACACGCAATACAAAAACAGCTGGGCCAAAGGGACACTGGGTAATTTTACACTCACATGCGCAACTTAACGGTGCACGGCGTAACTTTCTGGCTGGGGGGTCCGTTACCTGCTTGTTTCTATGGAGACGTCGTTGCTCTGCCTCGAATGTTCCACACAGCTCTCAATCACAGGTGGTTTTATAGCTCAGAAACAAAGATAGAAATGTTTAATACCGTACTGTGAAACATTCCAGACAAGATGGGCCCTCCACCAGAAAAGTTACACAATACAATACAATGATATTTTCCCCGTGTATTTGAGTAAAGTTTATCTTAACTCAGTACAGATATAGTGTATAAAAAGCTCTTGAGGTCAAAATAAGTCTGCTGTGTGCTGTCTAAATCAAATTAAAGTCTGATTTGATGTTAATAAATTGTCGCTAAACACAGAAAAAAATAAATTTATGATATTTGCAAAACGAAAAGTACAAAATCATGTACGAATTATGCTCAAAAATACACCATTAGAAAGAGTTTTTCAAGATAAATTTTTAGGAGTAAGTATAGATCATAATTTAAACTTGAAATCACACATAAATACAATTAGAAATAAATTATCCAAAGTGATCACAATTATATAAAAATATAGATGTACCCTAGATAAAACCAGTCTTTTTATTATATATAACTCGCTGGTAATGCCCAACATAACCTATTGTATTGAGATTTGGTGCAACACATATAAGACTAATACAAATTCAGTCTTTACCTTGCAAAAAAAGACAATAAGAGCATCACATTATCAACTTATAACAAACCGACCAATGCATTATTTATAAACCTTCAAACTCTTTTAATCGACCTTTACACTCTGAAAATCATGTTAAAAGTAAACAACAATCTCCTGTCAAAACCTTTACAGAACATGTTCAAAATCCGTACGGCCATGTTTATCAAAAAGAAAATCAGAACAAACATTATGAAATTGTGTAAATCTGTTAAAGGGGCGGAGCCTCTGGAACAACTGTACAGAAAACCTAAAATTGTGCACCAGTCTCTTTCACTTTATAAAGGAGTTTAAATGTTTAACTCTGGACAGATACATGAAATATGAGACTTAGTTTGTGCTGTAGGACTTTGTTGTTCTGTTTCTGATTTGTTTGTTGTATTTATGA